ATTTAGGGTACGAAATAACTGTCATGGTACCCCATGCTGTGTCTTAACTATATAGAAAGAAGCTAGCATGGAGCTATCATATGCTACCAGTATATGCTAGAAGAAATCAATTTAATAGCACTCCACAAATAAACCTTGATAAAAACAGTGTTTAACACTATATATTACATTTTGTTGTCATGCCATGGCCCAAACAGAGAATTGTCAGTAGAGCAGAGAATTTGCATAAAAGCTTTACATGATGCTGGTTGGACTCTCCGACAAATTTCTGCAGACTTGGAAATGCTATCCAAATGCTGTCAAGTACACCCTAGATTGTGAGACTGAGACACTTAAATTGGAAAATAGGAAAGGAAGAGGCAGAACACCTAAACTCAATGATACTGATGTTAAGTATCTTCATTTATGCAGCCTTCAGGACAGAAGGAAGACTGCCATTGATCTCAAGCATGAGATAGACGACCATGTACCAAATGACAGAAAAGTGTCCAGATCTACAATATCAAGAAGACTCAACAAGAATGGAATATTTGGTTGTGTAGCAGTTAAGAAACCTTTACTTCGATCTCCAACTATTGTCAAGACACTGAAATTTGCTAAAAAGTACAAAACTGGACTGTTGATGACTGGAAAAGGGTGCTATGGATGGATGAGTCCAAGTTTGAAATATCTGGTTCAAAACGTAGGTTTTACATCTAGCGGAAAAAAGATACTTACCTCAACGCATAGCATATACCATGAAGCATAGTGGAGGCAGTTTGATGGTATGGAGGTGTTTTTTTGTTGATGACAGGAGATATTTGCAAAATAGATGGAATAATGGACCAGCACAAGCATCATCAGATACTTTTCCATCATGGTATACTCAGTGGTTTGTGTGTTATCGATAAAGGATTCTACTACCAAAATGATAATGACTCCAAACACTCATCCAACCTATACTAAGAAAGAAGCTGCTGGAGTCATTCAAATGATGCACTGGCCCCCCACAGAGCCTCAATCTCAACCCAATTTTGCAGATCTGGGATTGGATAGATCAAAAACTTGACAAATCAAAAGTTACTTCCAAAGAAACTTTAAGGGAGTGTATTAGAAACATCTGTAGTAAAATAAAATAAAAAACACTTCGATTAAATATATTGCAACAATGCCTGAAAGACTGTCTGCATTTATTAAAGCAGAAGGGGGAACACACAAAATATTAACTGTTTGCTGAACTCAAGCACTTCCACTACGTTTCTGTTGTACTAAATATGAAGATTAATGAAATTTTGATGTTTCACCTGTGATTTACCTTCCATTGTTCTTTGCAATTAGCCTGAAATCCAATTTTTGACTTTGTCCAAACACTTTTGCACAGTACTGCATATATCATTGAAACTCATAAGTGGTTCAAAATTAATTAATTCCAGACTACAAAAACAGATTTTGTAGAAGGCACAACTACAAATAAAATATTTCCAATTGTTTTAACATTTTCATTTTATTCTCTATTCTTCCCATGATTTTTATTCATCAAAATACCTGAGCTATTTTTGATAAATCATTGACGAGTCTTTCAAATATGTTGGCTGCTGTCAAATCACAGTCATAATTCACATAGATGTCGACAACACATTGTGCATCTACAAAAAATACATGAAACAAAGCAGGTTGCACTCAAAACATCATAATAAGTGAATAGCAAATATCTGCAAACAAATTTTTCAAACAATAAAATACTACAATTTCCTAATATAATTGTAGTTTTGTTAAAATATTTTCAGGATCCAAAATTGAGCTTAGTATCAATGTTAAAACACTGCCCAATTTCTCAATTTTATATCTTTTTGTCCTTATGTCAAAAGATATATTATTAAAAGATACAAACTCTCAAAATATTCCAATATTGTACTTTACCTCACAATGAAGAGTTCCAGATCCAATTTCCCATATTTTAAATAAAACTCTTAACAAATTATTAACATTTATATTTGGTTGTAACAAATGTATACACATAATTTCTTTTGGTCGAGAGCTTCTAAGTCTACAGTAGAACACATAACCTTGATACTGTCAACACTTGCCATAT